TTAGAGCTCAGGGACCGCTCTGCTTCTGAGTGAGCATCCACTAATTATCTGTTGGGTAATTAAGTGCTGGGAATGGCCATAAAGGGGAGGTTTGGGGCTGTGGAGGTGGCAGGGGTTTTGTGGGGTCCTGCACCCCCAGAGCTGAGCTGCTTTTTCATCTCACAATAACGACCAAATGATTTTCCTTTTGCAGATATTGTGGATGGCAACTTGAAATCCACCATGAGGCTGATCCTGGCCTTGGCTGCTCACTTYAAACCGGGCTCWGGCAGGGCTGGCACCCCCGGCTCGGGGGGCAGAGGGTGGGCAGTGCCCAATCTCCGGCCCCGTTCGGCCGCTGCTGTGGCACAAGGGGCAGTGGCTGCTCTGGCTGATGTCCGGCAGGATGTCCAACAGTCTGGCCGGGATGTGTTCAGGCACAGACACAGGTGAGGGGCTTTTCTCTGCTGGCCATGAGGCTTTTTAGCTTCTGTGTTTTCCTAATTTTGTGTTTTTGTGCTTTTTCCGGTGCACAGCGCTAAAGGTGCTCTCACATCYTTAGACAAAACAATTCCTCTCTSGGCCTGRAATWTAAGGGCACCTCACTGCTCAGRGCCCCAAAATAYTGGGGAGAATGGGGGCAGCAAATTTGGGGGGTTGGCATCATCRCCTGAAGGCAGAATTGGAGAATTKGGGCTCAATATGTGAATGAGACAGAACTTAYAAAAGGGGAAGATCTCATSACTCRGGGYTCATTTTGGGTGTAGCCTCAGGAGAAGGCTTTGTCTGCCCTGAATGTGCAGGCCTTTATTAAATTTGTCTGTTTTTATTCCCTTAACTTTGGCCTCTTTCAGGTGAGCCCTGTTTAAGGCAACATGCAGGGCTGGGCTGCACTAACACTCAAGCATGGTTTCTTTTTAAATAAATCCATCTTTATCCTGAAATTCCTGGCATGAGGACGCTCCTGTGGTGCAAAAAAACACCTCAGAAATGCCCTCTCAGCGTGGGCACCGACCTGGCCCTGCAGCCACCCCAAGTTCTGCTCAGGTTTTACAGCAAAATCCCAGCTGGGGCTCTCTTTGTGTCCCTGGAAAAGAACAGGGAGTTCTGGCCCGGGCAGAGGGAGCTGTGCCACTCCTTGGGAATGTTCTCACGCCAAAAATCGAGTTTTGGGCACAGCTCTGGAAGCTTTTATTCCCAGAACTGGGGATTTTGTACCAATCCATCCTGGCTCATCCCAGTGCTGCACCCAGAGTTCTGGGGTTGCTGAAGGAATCCCACAGGGAATTGTTCTAAAAACCCCATTTTCCCTTTGTCAGAGGTGCTGTGTGGGTGACAATGACAATCACAGCGGTGACATTTAGCTGGAGCAGGTGCTGGGGCTGTGCAGGGTTTCGTTTTCACTGCTGAAGGTCATTTGCCCATTTGATATTGGCTCAAGGGAGCACCCCTGGAACAGTCCAGACACAAGGCTGAAATGGCAGATTTTATCAAAAAAATTAAATGTTAAAGATTTCCCTGGAAAAGGCCTTTGGAGTTCTTCAGGAAAGCTGAACAACTTTCAGCTCTTGCTGAAAAAATCACGCTGTTTGCAAATTTTGCTCTTTTCCTCGCCTTCCCAGAGCTTTTTGGATTTGTCACAAAATTAGGGACGAATTTAAAACATCAAGGCCTACTTGCCTCTTTTTTTCCTTAACACCACCAAGATGGGGATCCCTGCCAGGAAAATTCCTGTTGCCACCAGCTGAGTTTCCCCTCATTTTGTGATTGTCCCCTCCAGGAACAGCAGCATGGACGAGGAGATCGAGAATCCCTACTGGAGTGTCCGAGCCCTGGTGCAGCAGTACGAGGGCCAGCAGAACGTGCCACTGGACCCTCACCCTTCCAGGTGAGGAATTTTCATGCCAAGCTGTGTAATTTGCCTGGCATTCCCCAAAATGCCCGTTCTTCTCACCAAAATCTGGTCGGTTCTGATGGAAAAGGGGCTGATCTGGAGGAGGAATCGACGTGAAGTGTTTTTTTTGTTGTTTTTTTTTCGTGGAGAGAGGAGAGAGACAAAAAAAGGGCTTTTTGGGAGAAAAGCCCTCCAGTGTGGGAGCTGATCCAGCATGGAGAGGTTTGTAGTAAAGGGAAGCCGCTCCCTTTCCCCCCAGAGAACAGAAATGACTTGGAAGAGCAGGATCTGTGTTACTGAGCACACTGGAGCTCCCTGTGGATCAGAGCTGTGCTCCAGTTCATCTCATCCAGAGGGCAGAGCTGCTGATTCAGGGTTCCCTGCTCCCCCTGAAAGCCCCAATTCTGCTTTTCCATGTCCTTCTCCTGCCTGGGCCGTTCCCTGAGTGCCTCCCTCCAATTTCTGTGGGAGTGAGGACTCATTTGCCAAGCACAGATCGCTGCTGACAGCCTCCCAGCAGGCAGGACCTTTCCCCAGCATTTCTCAGGCCCATTTTTACGCTCCACAGCTCCAATAATTCTCTGCGTACGTGGAAATTAAAGCAGCTCGACCCGACAGAGGAGAAAACCACCCGAGTTTTTGTTTATACCCCAATTCTGTGTTTATAAATAGACTTTGGGAGGAGTTTGGGGCTCTGAGCTGCTGCTGGACCGCTGCCTCCACATGATGTCAGCAGCGTGCTTTGAGGCCGGGCTGCTTCAAGGGGTGCAAAATCCTGCTCTTGGCAGCAGCAATTCATGGGGAATGTCACAGCACCTCGGCACTGACCGGGAATTCAGAGTGCCACATTCTGCTCCCGGCTCTCATCCTCCTCTTTAAAGGGAGCTGGAATATTTGATGGATTTTCTTCCCTATCAGGGATCATCAGGTGGCTGCTCTTTGCTTGTATTTTGGTGGTAAACAGAAATTTCTCTGCAAATCTTAAATAATTTTGCAATGGTTTTTGGTTTTGGTTTTTTTTTCCGCCAAATGTTATGAATTCTCTGATCACGATGCGATGCGGATGTTATTGCTGATAGGGCAGAACACAGCGAGGATTTTTGCCCAACTGATCAAAAATGGGGGGCTCTGTGCCCCTCCAKCTCCTGRGGTGTCAGTGCYGACACAATTCTGYGTGATGAAAACRAGATGCTTCCCYTTCCCTGGCAGGGAGAAATGTGCTTAGCTCAGTCAGGAGAGCTGGCTGGCAGAAACGAGATGCTTTTTTTAATCAGTGAGAGATGCGGTTGTGAATTCAGCCGCCCCCCTCCATCAGCCCCTGCTGCTTTGGTGTCCCAGGGCAGCATCCCCGGCCCTGCAGCAGCTCCTTCCTCCTCGCACAATTCCCAGGGACGGCAGCTCCAATAAGCGCAGGCAGCCGAAATGATTCATGGAAAAAATTTGCCAAAATCAGATGATTCCCAGGCCGCCGAGCCCCTCACCCATCCCTCTCCCTATCCCCTCCCCTTCCAGCAGCATTCCCTCCCCCACCCCTGAGCCAAGCATCTCGGAGAAAGGCTGTGCCTGCACAGCCCGTGTGACAGCAGGAGGGAGCGGGAGCCGTGCCTGGAGCTGCCGGGGAAGGGCTCTCATCCCCGGGAAGCGCAGGGAGCCCGGGGGCAGCAGCTCTGCCTTTCCCGGCCGCTCCTCCGCCGCTGCTCCGCTCCCGGGGACGCACCATGGGATGAGGAGCAGCCCCGCAGCCGAGCGATGGAAACCACCGGCTGTGCCGCTGACCAAAATGCACCAGCGGGAGACAAATAACCCCCGAGGAAACCCTGCAGGAGCCAGAGCCGGGCTGCAGAACCCCCTGACTCCGGGACCGACCCCACTGCCGGGGGCTGCGCATTGAAGACCCTGAGTCGGTTTATTTTTTCCCCCGTGTGTCGCTTCTGCCGGGAATCCGTTCAGCATTCTGGCTCTCCCGTAGTTTGCCAGGAGCCGGCGATGTCTCTCCAGTGAACCCTGAGCATGTGAAAGGGAGCGAGGCATGAGCGGAGCCGGCATCCTGCGGCTCGCCGGGACGCGCATTCTGTGAGGCGAGAGGTTAAAGTGGGATCATGGGAGGGAAGCAGGTCAAATGGTGAGCGATTGTTGTTGCCATTGTCCTTGGGAACAGCAGGGATGGGGTTGGGAATGGAAATTGGGGGAATTCAGGCGGCGCTGAGGCTCTCTGCCCTAAAGCCACGGCCGTGCTGGAGGAGCTGGGGCTCGGGGGATGCAGGATGTGGGTTAAGGAACCAAGCGGTGGAAGGAATAAAGTGGAGCAGTTTGCATCAGCAATCTCTCTTGGAAAGCGTTCATTCCCCAGCCCTCATTTCTGCACGCCTCAATCGTGCGTTGCTGGGTACTTTTGAAGGAATTGCATCAGTGGGGATTTCATTTTCCGATGGCTTTGACTGATACAGAACCTGGGGAAGCGTTTCCAGCGTTAATTTGGTGATGCATAAAGCAGCCTGACCTGTGCTGCTGCTTCAGCTGCCTCTGGCTCTGCCGCTGTTTGGAATGTTTGGGAGGTGGCTGTGGATGCTCGGTGAACCCTTTTGGGATGGGAAAACTGCCTGGGAAGGGTTTGGGCAGGCGGGAATTCCTCAGGAAATGTAAAAGTGTCGGTGTTTATGTCGGGTTTGTGCTGGGGATGCAGCGCCGGGAGAAGCAGATTTTGGAAGAGGGGGATGTTATTGCCAGGCTCACATCCTTGTTTTTCATCCTGCTCCTTCTTCCCAGTCCCCATTTCGCCACCCTCTCCCCCACCGGTGGCTGGTGGTGTTTTTCTGGGACAGCTTTTGCATGGATGAGAACCAGCAGTGCCTTAGGGTGAGGGCAGGTTCAGAGAATCAGCTGAGCAGGGAAGGGAGGGAATACTGAGAGCTGTTCCTAGAAGGAAGCAAAAATCCCTCCCGGAGCTGCTGGCCATGTTCGACCAGCTGGGCTTCCTGCTGGCATCTGTGGTGTGTGAAAGTTCCATCCTTTCCTCTGGCCCTTGTTGCATAATGCAATCCCCGCAGAACTGGCGAATCAAATAATAAACATGATTTTTTAAAAAAAAAAAAACAACCATAATTTTATGCCGTGCTCCCAATCAGCAAAGAGCAGGGGCTGATTACAAATGTTACATAAAAAAATATTTCTGATGAGGGACTGCTGTGATGGATTTGGGATTCCTGGAGAGGAATCCTGGAGCAAAGCCAGGTGACCTGGATCCCTTTTAACCATCATGCACTCACCTGAAAGGACAGGTACTGTCCCTGCTGGAGATTTCTATTGGAAAACAGTTTTTCTTTATCTTCCCTTTAACATGGGGGAAGCCTGGACCACAAAAACCTGGCCTCAGGTCTGTGATTTAAATGAGGAGAGGCTTGCCCTGGCCGTGGGAGTGGGGCAGGCAGGGGCAGGGAGTCATTTCCATCTCTATTGCGGGGCTTTTCCCATTCTGTGGGAGCTGTGGGAGACGGAGCAGCAGTGCTGGGAAGATGCAGGCAGGGAGCTGCTGAAGCCTCTCATTTTTCTAAACCTATTCTATTATTTCCACACTGTTCTTCTTTTTGTTCTCTGCCCTTTGTTTCTGTGTTGGGGGAGAATGAAAAATTAACTCCTGCTCGCACTTGCAAGGATTTCATTCCTGCGACTTTCGGGGTGCATTGAATAGGTCAGTGAGCTTCAGCCACCTTTTGATGTTGTCTGGGTGATGCACTTAGGAAGAATTTCTCAGAGAAAGATTGCTTGAACCTCCCAGTCAGCTGAGAGGGCTCCTGACAAAATATGTGGGCCCTTCCAAGAAGTTTTAGTCGAAGAACACAAGTGAGTGGAGTCTGACTCCCAAAAATATTGGGATTTCAAGTTGAAGTGATTCTCCTGAGAGCTCTGGAGCAAGAGATGAAACCAAGGTGGTTTTTTGTCCAGCAGAAGGTTGTCAGTAAATTACTTTAGAGGGTGGTCATACCCCAATTCAAAGAGAGTCTGAATTCAAAACATTTCATACCCAGGTTGCAGATAATTCTTAGATAAAAGTGAATATGGAGAAATACTTGTTGAAAAATGGGGCTGATCAACATTACCTTGATCTAAAAGAGCTGTTCCTTCCTCGCCCTGCAGCCTGACATCCCCCAGCCCTGTCCACAGCGCCAAGAGCGAATCCACCGTAGCCCCCTCCGAGGAGAAGGAGAGGCTCGTGATCCTCCAGGCTGAAGAAACAGAGACTAAAACAGGTAAAGCTCTGGAATTGTGTGTGATAAACTCACTGAAGAGCTCCCCAGGGACTGGGATTGTTTAATGCTGTCTGCAGCGTGTCCTTGGGGCACTCTGTGCCACTGAGGGACCCTCTGCCAACCCCTCTGTCACACACACTGTGCTCAGAAATCTCCCTGAATCAAAGTTATCTGGGATAAAATTTCTTCAGGAAAATTCTGTTTGCCTGAAGAATGAGGCAGAAATGTTTGTGATCAGAGGACCTGATCTGCTGTGAGCACAGCCAGCTCCTCTCTCTTGCAGAAGAATCCGATTGCCACTTCCAGCCCGAGTGGCAGGCGGGGACCTCTGCATCCTACCTGGAGAACTCATGGGAGGAGCAGCTGCTGGAACAGCAGGACCACCTGGAAAAGGAAATGGAGGAGGCCAAAAAGATGATTTCGGGTTTGCAGGTGGGAGTTTCTTCTGTTTAGACAGTTGTTTTTTTTTTTCCAGGGTCACCCAGCCCTGCATCAGCCATTCCATGAGCTTGGCTGAACCTTCATATTTGGTTCATTCTGACCACAATTTTGGATTTTTGGGACCTTTCCCTCGCTGTTCCTCAGCCCAGGGTGTGTTTGGCTGTGCCTGGGGAATTGAGCTCCTGATCCATATGGTGAAGGCTCTGAACTCTCTCAGGAATATCCCTTTCTGTTTGTGCTGGGAACCACAGTGGCTTTGGATTGTAAATATTTATGTGGCAGTAAACAAAGCAGAGATTGTGTGAGGAGCACAGGCAGCTGGGCGGGCACTCTCCCCAGGGACAATGGGCAGGACACAAAAGAGTCACCAAAAAAAAAAATTAAAATTCCTTGGTTCACTGGTAAAATCTGGCAGCATTTTGTGCCCACAGGGAGAGGAGGGACTGGCACTGCTGCCCCTCACTCATCCCCTGGGAGTGGGGAGAGGCAGCTGATTTGAAATTAGATTTGATTCATTGGTTTTCCTTCTCTTACTCAATAATTAAGAGGCTCCAGTTCGTGAGAGTTTGGTTGAAATGTTGGGGATCTGATGCACACACACCCTATAAGGTGCTAAAGCTGAGGTTTCACTCCCTGGAAATCTGAGTTGTCCTTGTTTGGTTCTTTCTGGGGGAGAACATGGAGAGAGCTGTTTCAGGGGATAAATCTTCTTGTTCATTCCTGAAAAAAAAACAACAAAACAAAACAAAACAAACCCACTCATTTTTGAGGGGAATAAATCAGCAGAAATGGGAAATGAAGCTGCTTGGGGGTTGTTGGCAGGAGTGACTGCTGGCCAGAGCTGCCACTCACCTATTTCCCTTTGAAATCTCTGAAAAGGAGATTTTTTTTTTTTAATTTTTTTTTAAATCCTTTCTCTCCCCAGGCTTTGCTGCTCAATGGATCTTTACCTGAGGATGAGCAGGAAGGCTCCTTTGAGCTTTCTGAGCGTGGGGCCTGCCCCGAGGAGCAGCTGGTGAGCACATTCCTGTACCCAAATTCCCCTGCTCCGGCTGATTTTTGCACTGTGCTGCCCCTGCTGTGCCATAATAACGCTGAAATTCTGCTCCAGATCATCATCCGGAGCCGCCTGGACCAGAGCGTGGAAGAAAATCAAGATCTGAAGGTTAGAGGGGGACAGATGGAGGGGAAAGAGAGGCTTTGCAGATTGTTTCACTTGACTTTTGGGGGAAAATTTTTGGGGTGAGGATGGGGCAGAGTGGATAATATGATGGATGAAATGGGGATTATTCTGTTAGGGCTCCAGGTTTGGGAGCAGTTCTGATGCTGGGAGAAGTGTTTGATGTTGTCCTGAAGAGCAGATTTGAGGGCCTAGGATATATTTTTTTTCCTCAGCTTTTGGTATATTTGTAACTCATTAAAATTGCTCAGAGCCTGTCCTGCTCTTGGATCTGTTGGAGATTGTGGGGTGTGCTCCCTCCTGCAGCAGAAAACATCAATTTTGGGTTCTGAAGGGGTGACAAAGTGCCATTTAATCAGATTGTGTTGCATTTGCAGAAGGAGCTGCTGAAATACAAACAAGAAGCTCGGAACCTCCAGGGAATAAAGGTGAGAAAGGGACATTTCATCAAAAATAAACAGTGGGGCTGCAGATGAGTAGGGCCAGCAGCAAACATTCACCTCTGAGGAACCTCAGATTGTGGAAGGAGGAGCATTAGGGGGCTTGGAGGTGGGGGATCCTGTGGTTTATTTCTGAATAATATTATTATGAATTTATTATTATGAATATTATTATGAATTTATTTCTGAGATAAACCACAGGTTTATTTCTGAATTTTTAGGCAGGCACAAGGAGCTGGGTTTCCAGGTTTTTTTTGCTGTCTGTAGGATTGTGGTCAAATATCCCCTCTTTAAGGTTTTCCCCCCTGTTTCTTCTAAACAAAACGAGGCATAAATTGCTTGGGTTTTTTGCTCTTTTATTCCCTCCTGCCTCTCGGAGCACACCCCTGGTAACATTGGCCCAGTGAACTCATTCCTACAGCACAGGAGAAACAGCCTGAGGTGTCCATCCCCAGAAATCACTCAGTTTGTGCCTCTGGGGCGGTGCTGGCTGCTCATCCCCTCCTCACAGGGTATTTTTAGCCAAGGTGGAGCTCTGCTCCCCGGGCTGAGTGAAAGGTGCAGAATTAGTGCTGACTTGAACCTCTGCAGAGAGGATTTCACTGCACAACTGGGTCACTGTCAGGGCTTAAGGCTCCTCGTGTCCTGGGCTGGCGCTGCCCTCTCGGTGCCCTCTGGATCAGGGCACGGTGCTGCTGCCTTCCCTGACAGCCTGTCCATCACTGCTGTGCTGGAAATTCAGGGTGAAACCTAAATTCTTCTGTCCTGGTGGCCAAAATGTTGGCAGGATTATAAATTTTGGGGAAGAGAGAGGCAGGAGGGCTGAGAGCCCGTGGGGTTCCAGGGTGTTTTGACCCCTGCCCGGGGTTGCTGGCTCTTTGGGGAGGTCTCTGCCCTCTCTGCCCCATCCTGCACAGTTTTCCTGTCCCTAGGATGCCCTGCAGCAGAGGCTGATCCAGCAGGACGCTGCTGTGCTGCAGCTCAAGCAGGAGCTGCTCCGAGCCAACATGGACAAGGAGGAGCTGCACAACCAGAACGTGAGTCACGGCTCCGGGGTGGCTTTGGCCGCAGGGTGGTGGCCCTGAGGGGTGCAGAAATGATTTTGGGGTCGTGGGATAGGGAACAAACAGCCAAAGCTGCTCACAGTGTGCTGGCCAGCTGTGGGGATGGACATTCCTGACCTTCACTCCCATTTCCTGCCCTCCAGGACCTTCAGCTGGGACAGGGAGGAGCTTTCCCTGATGTTTTCAGAGCTGCTGCATTTGTCCCTCCTCACTCCTGCCCTGTGCAGAGTCCCTGTCCACCCCAAACTGCAGCTCCCTTGACCCCTGCAGGTGTCTGCTCCCCCTTTGGCGCAAAGGGCAGAGATTTTCACTCTCTGGGAATCTCTGCCTCACCCCGGGGTGTTATTCCTGCAGGTTGACCTCCAGAGGAAGGTTGAGGAGAGGAACCGGCTCCTGGCAGAGTACAAAGTAAAGGAACCTCTTCCCTGGGGCTGGGGAAGGTTTCTTCAGCTTTGGGAATGGAATTGCTGCAGCAAACACCTCTGGGATTGCTGGATTAAACACATCTGGGAATGGGATTGCTGGAAAAAAACCCCTGTGAATGGGATTGCTGCAGCAAACACCTCTGGGATTGCTGGATTAAACACATCTGGGATTGCTGGGCCAAAACCCCTGGGAATGGGATTGCTGCAGCAAACATCCTTGGGAATGGGATTGCTGGAAAAAAAACCCTGGGAATGGGATTGCTGGATTAAACACATCTGGAAATGGGATTGCTGGAAAAAAACCCCTAAAAATGGGATTGCTGGATTAAACACATCTGGGAATGGGATTGCTGGAAAAAAAACCTCTGGGAATGGGATTGCTGGAGCAAACATCCCTGGGAATGGGATTGCTGGATTAAACACCCCTGGGAATGGGATTGCTGCAGCAAACACCTCTGGGATTGCTGGAATAAACACATCTGGGATTGCTGGAGCAAAACCCCTGGGAATGGGCTGCAGGAGCCAGGGGTGTTTGTAGGGAGATGTTCTTTGCCTTCCCCACAGTTCTTATAAATCTTTCATTGCTGTGGGTTTTGGTGGTGGCTGCTGAGTGTCCAACACATGTGCAGATGAGGTTGGGTGACCTCACTGTCCTCTGACACTCGGGAATTTGTGTCCTCTGGGACAGCTGTGAGGCCTCAGCAGTGGATGTTTGGCCAATGTTTGGAGCAATAAAAACCTGATGGATCTTGTAAAAAACCCCTCTGACACTCAGCTCTAACACCTGGCAAAGCACACCCTGTGCAAGGCCCCTGATCCTGGCAGTGACAGGATTTTCCCCTAAGTGGGAAGGGGACTGAGCCTCTGTCAGTGCCCTGCTGATTTTCTGGCTCTCTGTTGCAGAAGGAGCTGTGCCAGAAGGATCGGCACCTGCAGCAGCACCAGAGCAAACTGGATGAAATGCTCAGGCAGCTCTCCGAGGCCAGCTACCAGCAGGTAGGGAGAGCTGGGCTGCTCTGGGAGCTGCTCTGGGAGCTGCTCTGAGGGTTCCATCGGTGTTGACTCCTCTGTGCACCTCCACAGGTGGATTTGGAGCGGGAGCTGGAGCACAAGGAGGCTCTGCTGGCTCACTGCATGAAGAGAGATGCTGAGGAGGTATGGGAGCTTTGGTCCACACGTGGGGTGAGGTTGGTCCAGCACCCTGTAGGCACCCATTTCCAGAGCCTTCCCCTTCATCCCAGAGCCCTGACCAAGGCAGGCAGCTGGCAGAGCCCACAGGACACCCAGCTTGCCAAAATCCCAGCACTGAGCACTCCAGCTCAGCCTCTCAGCTCAGAATCCCCAACGGTCAGATCACAGCTCAATTTTCCTCCTCATTTTCCTGCTGGCCCTGGTATTGAATATTTGGGAAAGGCCAATCCCAAAACCTGTCCCTGAACACTGACTGTACTCACCACAGAGCCCTCTGATGCAGCAGCAAACCCCTGTCAGACTCTGCCCCCTTTTTCCACCTTTATGTGAGGAATCAGCTCTGTGCTGTGACCTACAGAACTCTCTGCACACTTTAGGGAGTGTCTTTGTTGGGGAGAAGATCAGAGTTACATCACTGATGTGGAAAGCTCTCATTCCCTCTCATTTTGAAGTGCATAAATTGGGATTTTTGGGGAGGTTCTGACACTCCCACTCTTGTTTGCACCTCTGCCCAGGTGATGGCTTACAGCAGCCACAGTGCCCAGAGCAATGGTTTCCTCCAGACTGCAGGAAAAGGAGCTGCTCCCACAGCCCACCGAGGGGTAAGTGCACCCAGCCAGATACCCTGGAACCCTTTACCTTGTACAGAGAGATTTTCCCGTGCTGGGGAAGGGCAGATGGGCTGCTCTCACCCAGGATGTTTGGGCAGAGCAATGACCTGCAGCTGGTCCGGGATGCCCTGCGCAGCCTCAGGAACAGCTTCAGCGGCCACGACCCGCAGCACCACACCATCGACAGCCTGGAGCAGGGCATCTCCAGCCTCATGGAGCGCCTGCACCGCCTGGAGACGCACAAGAGGCAGGAGAGGAGGGTAAAGGCTTCCCGGGGCTCTCTGCTCCTTCCCCTCCCAGCACCCAGAGGGATCTGGATGGGCAATGACTCTTTGTCCTCATTCCTTTGCACCCCAGGGCCGGGGGAAATCACCAGCAAGCAGAGCCACCAACGAGTGCAGGGACTCGTGGCCCCCCAAATCCAGTAAGTGCCGTGCAGATCCCGCTGTTGTGCTGCCAGATCCATTGCTCAGCTCCCTGGCACAGAATCCCCTGGGGAATCTGCCCCCTCCAGCTTCACCTGCACTCTGATCCACTGGATCAAAGCTCGCTGCAGAGGGGAGGGGACACGTTCGTGGCTGTTTGTTTGTAGAGCACCATCTCAGAGGGAGTCAGTGCTGCAGTGCAAATAACCACAGAATTCCACAGGAAAAGGGATGTGATTCCAGCTTGGCTGCTGCTTTGCACCATCTAGTGGGGGCAGAGAAAGGTTCCCTGTTCCCTGCACAGTGTTTACTGCCTTTCACACCCACAGAACTGAGCTGTCTTCTTTAACAGCACATTTCCAGAGTATTTCCTGCATAAAAAGAGCCTTAAAACTGTGGAGCCCCTCGGTTCCTCTGCTTCAGCTCTTGGTGGGGAAGCAGGAAACAAGGCAAAGCCAGGGAGAGAAACACAAAGAGCAAATTAAAATCCACGCACCACCATCCATCCTGGCCAGCAGGAACGGGGAGCTGGGGAGGGATGGTGGTGATAAGGGATGCTAATCAGTGATGCTTCACAGAGCTGCCTCACTCTCAGAGCACACCCGTGATGAGCACCAGTGCCTGCACCAAAGTGTTGTACTTCACCGACCGCTCCCTCACCCCCTTCATGGTCAGCATACCAAAGAGGTGAGGCCAGCCCTTCCYGACCCTCCTGTGCCCCTAAAAACAYCCCTCTGCTTTTCTGGGGAYGCTCCCAGCCAGCACAGRTTTGCTGTGCCTAACTGGACTTCATGCCATTGGTGTGGAGAATTACCTGAAGCAGTCCCTGAGCTTTGTTTCTGTATTTTGTTTCTGTATTTTGTTTCTGTATTTGTTTTCCCTCGCAGGTTAGGGGAAGTGACTCTGAAGGATTTCAAGGCAGCCATCGATCGGGAGGGAACCCACCGGTACCACTTCAAAGCCCTGGATCCAGAGTTTGGCACAGTGAAGGAGGAGGCAAGTGTGGGACTGAGCTTTGGAGACCATGGTCACCTCACTTTGAAACAAATGAAATACTGGATATTTCCCCAAAACAAACTGTCTGTTTTTCCAGATGCAGATTAAGCTCCTCTTGTGCTAAAGTGGGARGTTTTCATCCTCAGGGATATGACTGCAACTGCCTGGGAGTGCTTGGGCAAAGCCACTCTGGGACACAGCTCAGGGGACACAGAAAAATCCAAATTGCACTTCTGGCCCTACCAGGGCCTATATAAAACCTGTTGTGAAGGAAAACCCTGTATTAAAAATAGACTCCTAAAGGTTTTTCAGAGAGATTTGTTCTCATGGCATCATTTTTACAGTTCAGCCCTGTTCAGGATCAGGCTGATGTTGCTGTGGGTTGAATTCATTACAGGTTTTTGGGACAGCTCTTTCRTCACAAATTGATTAAGACAAGGGCAAAGGGTCACCCTCTCTGGGAACAGGCAGCAGCAGCAAGTGGAGGTTGTAGCCTGGCTCAGAAAAGCCAAGTTTCCTATCTTTATTTTACCTTTTCTGTCAAAAAGAAAAGCCAATAATAATGCTGATATTCATTGGTTAAAGAGGCCTGGTCTGTTTTTTACCCARAACCTGCAAATGTGACTCATACCTCAGCCATCATTCCATGTCTGTGTTCCCTGGGCTGCTTAGGGAAATCTGAGCTAGGATTTAATTTAATGCCCCTGATGCAGAGCAGAGCTATCCAGACTCCAGACATGACTAAACTCCCTCATTTTATTTTATTTTATTTTGTAGGTGTTCCATGACGATGACATCATTCCTGGCTGGGAGGGGAAAATCGTGGCCTGGGTGGAAGAAGACCACGGGGAGAATTAATGGAGCTTTCAAGTGCTGTTTCTATGGAAACTGTGACTGTGTGCAGAGCTCACAGAGTGACCGAGGAGCTCGCCCGCCGGGAGGAGGGCAAGCCAAGCTGCCAAAAAAGAGCCACGGGTGCTGCTGCTTGTGTTCACCTGAGGCTGGGGACACAAACACCCTGCCAGCAAAACCCTGGAGGCCTTAAGGATGCTCAGCCCCCTGCTCCTGCTCCTCCAGCCCTGCCTGCTGTGCTGCACGCTCTGCCGGGCATCTCCTGCACTGGTGGCACAGAAATCTGCACTGGTGGCACAGAAATCTGCACCCATGGCACAGAAATCTGCACCCATGGCACAGAAATCTGCAGCCATGGCACAGAAATCTGCATTGGTGGCATCTGCACCCATGGCACCGAAATCTGTGCTGGTGGCACAGAAATCTGCACCCAAGGTGAAGGTGTGAAGCTCTGCCTTCACGGAGAGGAAGTTGCTCAGTTGTGGGAGCTGAAGGTTGGAGCAGCTTTCGCCCTGCAGGAGCAGAGTGACTTTGTGGACATTCCAGACTGGCAGGACCTGTTCTGGGGGAGGCAAGAGTGCTCGGGAGGGTTTGTGCAAAGCTCACCCACCGGCCAAGCTCCATTTCTCCCAAACTCAGGCTTCCATTCCCCAGCCCTGCTTTTTCCCACTCTTGAGATGCTCTGGGTTTGCTCTGCAGCCGTGGGGAATGGGGGATCTCGGTGCTTGTTTGTTTTTCTGAAGGGTTTCACGGTGGTGGAGCTGGGATCAGCTGTTCCCTGAGCTCCTTACACGCCCTGTCCTTGCTGAGCCTGTCCCTGTCCTCTCTGCTGTCACCTCCTGTGCACAGWTGTCCCTCTGCTGCTGTCCCCCCATCGCCAGGGCCACCAAGCACTTACCCACACCAGCTCCTGACTCTGCTGAGTCCTGAAGGATCAGGAAAGAACTGCTGGGGAAAGAACAAGCCCTAAAATCKCCGAGGGTGGATTTTTCCCTTTGGTTTTGTTTCTGTGCATCACCTGTGGACTTGGGAGGTTCAAAAGGCAGCTCAGGGCTCTGCTCCCTCTCGGCTCCTGTGGCCCTTCCATGGACTKTCTGTGTGTGCTGTGCATGAGGCTGGGAGAGGGGGCAACCCGGTTTTACTGTTTTATATCAACACGTCCTTTTGTAAACATGTTCTTGGAATTATTTTGTACCGATTCACATTTGTCTGAGGACTGTGGATATTTTTATACTAGTGCAAGTGCTCTCTGTATATTTCTGCACGCATTATACTGTGTTTTACTCCTTTCCTGCTGGATGCTGAGATGTTTTGTATTGTCTTCTGTTGACACAATGTCAGGCTTGTAATTTTATTTTACTATGGAAATCCAACTGGTTACTACTGGGTTTTATATCAAGACTCTTCTGCGGTTTTGTGCCACATTGGCACAACTCAGCCTGCCTCCTGTTCTGGACAATTTGTGTGACTTTCTTACAGACAGCAGGAGGAAAGTTCATCAATGAACAAGGTAATTAAGGGGGACTAAGTCTCTTTTGGAAAAGAAACAAAGATTTTCTTTCTCTCTGGACATGGTTTCTCTGTTGCATGATCTCTGGTGAAGAGGGCATGGGCTTGTGGTACTGASATCAATTGTATTTGAATCACAAACTTCTCACAAGTGTTTCATTCCTCGGGTTTTACTCATCAATTTTATTCCAGCAAAAGCCATGCACCCGGGCTGGAGCTCCATGGAGCAAATTAAGACAATTTTCAAGGTCTGTAGTTTGCCAGCTTCATGTCCTTCTCTGCTACTCAGAGGAGCAGTTCGATTTGGGAAGTTTCTTCCTGATGAAAGCGAAAGATGTCACTTTTACATCAGTTTGGCACTGCCCTAACACTGACTCCAGCGGGTTTAGTTACAAGGTAAACTTACAAATATAGGAACGGGAAAGTAACTGAGGAAAGCAGGCAGAAATAAACAGTCAGTAATAAATAAATATATAAATTTACAGACAGTAATAAATAAATAAACAGTGAGCAGCGAAACAGACAGGTCTGGGATACCATGATAAGGATAAGCCCAGCCTCCATGGAGAGCTCTTGCTCGTGTTGAGCTGGGACTTGTGTTACACTTTATGGACATTGTTCCTCGTCCTGCCAGGAGCAGCAGCAGCTCCAGTTTGACACCATCCCCTGGCACCGTTTGGACCCATTTGTGTGTGTTCTGCTGATTGTCCAAACTCAACCCCCCTGTCCCAGCCTGAGGCCGTTCCCTCTCCTCCTGTCCCTGTTCCCTGGAGCCGATCCCAAATCCCCCCCGGCTGTCCCCTCCTGTCAGGGAGTTGTGCAGAGCCCAAGGTCCCCCCTGATCCCCCTTTGCTCCAGGCTGAGCCCCTTTCCCAGCTCCTGCCCGTTCCCAGGGCCCTTTTCCCCGTGCCCGTTCCCGGTGCCCGTTCCGTTCCCGGTGCTCTTTCCCCCTGCCCGCTCCCCGTTACCGTTCCCATTCCCGTTCCCGTTCCCGTTCCCATTCCCGTTCCCGTTCCCGTTCCCCATTCCTGTTCCCCGTTCCGTTCCCGTTCCCCGTTCCGTTCCCGTTCCCCGTTCCCTTTCCCAGTTCCGTTCCCGGTGCCCGTTTCCGATGCTGTTCCCCATTCCCGCTCCCCATTCCCGTTCCCGTTCCCCGTTCCCGTTCCCCGTTCCCATTCCCACTCCCCGTTCCCGTTCCCGTTCCCCATTCCGGTTCCCGGTGCCCGCTCCCCGTTCCCGATGCCCGTTCCCGTTCCCCATTCCCCTCCCCGTGTCCGTTCGGCGGTGAGGCGGGCCCTCAGGCGGGCTCTGAGGCGCGGCCGTGCCCGTTCCCGTTCCCCGTTCCCGTTCCAGTTCCCCATTCTCGTTCCCCGTTCCCTTTCCCCATTCCCGTTCCCCATTCCCGCTCGCCATTCCCGTTCCCCGTGCCCGTGAGGCGGTGAGGCGGGCCCTCAGGCGGGCTCTGAGGCGCGGCCGTGCCCGTTCCCGTTCCCCATTCCCGTTCCCCATTCCCATTCCCATTCCCATTCCCATTCCCATTCCCATTCCCCATTCCCATTCCCATTCCCGTTCCCCATTCCCGCTCCCCATTCCCCTCCCCGTGTCCGTTCGGCGGTGAGGCGGGCCCTCAGGCGGGCTCTGAGGCGCGG